AGGCCATTTTAACTTGGTGGCCTAGAAAACCAAACTTGCAAAAGTTAGGCCACCGTGTCGAAATGTATTCGTTTCAAAAAATTTCTTGAAGCCGTGTCGGAAAGATACACTGGACACAGTTTCATTTTTTTTTCAGCCTGGAATAGCACCACCACCAAGGCCTAATAGGGAGGAGGATGAAGAAGAGAGATTCGGGTTGGGCGGCGGCGAAGACGACGATTCCTATCCTTCATCGGGAGATGATATTGGAGATCCAGCGAAAGAACAACAGGAGGTGACAGATGACGTGGCGACTCGTTATAAAGAGGAAGAAGTTCGGAAGAAAGTACAGCCTGCAGTTCCCAACTATGATGATCCAAATGTTCCTGGTCCCAGTAATCCGGTTCCACGCCAAGTGGAGCAAGTTTCGAGAGAGGCTCCTGAGGATTCACCTAATCGTGAACCTAGAATCCTTGTGTACCAAAGACCACCACGACTACACGAGATTCCTCAAATTTCACATGGAAGAAATCCACTACACGATCCTCCGTCCATGGAAGAATATGTGCAAAAGTACGATGACCCTAACCAGCCGCCAAGCAGACGGGCAGACCAGTATCCTCCCAGTTTTACACCGGCAATGGTTGGTTACTGTGAAGATGTGTATTGGAAGTACAACGAGAGAAACTTGCCGGATAACGTTCCGATGCCTCCAAGGCCTCGCGATTGGGATCAACGACGTCTGGTCGAGCTACCACCTCCAGAAGATTTCGATGAAGTTCCTCCACCGGGTCGATCAGCGATTCCAATCCCTCCAGGAGCAATCCGTTTGCGAGAGAGACGAAGAGAACAACATCTTCGGGAGCAGGAAGCTCGACGGAACCGACCCGAAAGCCCTGATGACACTCCTGGTCTTTAGAATGCTCATTTCCACAGTTTTACAATTTTTCTGTTGTCTTTTCATGTTCTAAACATTTCAAACCTTTATTTGCACTCACCTAGATTAACAGATCTCACTTTCCTACTTTCCTGCCTAGTTTTCTGAACACAGATCTTGTAATTAAATATGAATTCCCCATTCTCACTATCACTTCTTAATAAATTTATTGTCTTGTAATATTAAAATGCACATACATCTTGGAAACAAGGAATACAATAAAGAAGCGCACGGACCTGCCGGTAAAAATGGGAGGAGGCATCCAATCTTCGTTTGAAAGATCGTCTACCGGATGAGGAAAAGTGAAATAACCTGCACTAAAGTTTAAATATTTGAGAGAAAAAGTGCCTTCCTGGTATTGTCCGAATAAGAAAAACTGTCAGCTCCGTGTTTGCAGACTCACAAACTCCGCAAACACGAAGGTGGCATTTTTCAAATTCCGACAATATTAAAGACGCGCATAATGGAGGCAGTTACAGAAGAAAATACAATGTATCAACGGAATATTTTAGGGTAAGACACGGAAAATGGAGAGGGATTCTGGAGAAGGAAGAGAAGGCACGTAGAACAAAAACAGTGATCATAGTTCATTATTGGAGGCGTTATGGCTCTTATTTTTAATTAGAGAGAGAAAAATACAAAATTCTTAAGAAGTAGGAATATTCAATGAAATCAAATTTGCAATATGAGAAACTTCAAAAATAATCATAATAAATGCCGTATGAGGAATGTGCAAAATATAGGAAACCAGATAAAGAAATTTACATATAATAAAAAATCAAGTCAATTTAGCAGCTGCACCGTACTCATCGTCGTCTGGCGCTTCTTCTTTAATAACAGCCTTCTCTGCCACGTGTTCTTCTTTCGGAGGCGGGAGAGTGTCTCCGTTGGCTCGAACGTCATCTTCGTCTTCCTCTTCTCCAATCTCTACGTCTTCCTCGTAGGCCAGCTCATCGTCATTCAATTCGTCCAAATCAATGTCTTCTTCGTTATGAGAATGTCCATTCTGGAGCATTCTTCCGACGGTTGAATGATTTTGACTGCCAACTGGACCTCCGAATCCACGCTCCACTAATTGCTGATCGGCAGAACATGTACTTGCCTCGCCTTTGTACATGTGCGCCATCTTAAAATATTTTTTCATTTTATTTAGAATTATTTAGCAAGTGAATTTTCTGGTACAAACATCGAAGCCGTGGAAGAGAAACGCCGGTGGCCGTCGCCGAAGTTCCGTTTTCAGGATTTATTTCATCGATTTTCAGTTATTTTACCCCGAAAAAGCCGGAAAATTAACTTTTTCGGGAGAAAAGTAGAGAAAAAAAAATCGAAGAAAATCAGTGAAAAATGAGCCTGCCTTTCTCTAGACATGCTGTGACCTAATTAATATATAAAAAACTAACCACGCTGTTTAGCAATGGTAGATGATCGTCGCCATTCGTTAGCGGATTTCCATCAGCGCCAGGAGGAGGAGTTATGCTCCGAACCTAGAATAAGATGGAAATATAAATAATGACTGTGAAGGTGGGGGTGAATGAGCAAGCAGTTAGTCCCAAATTGCAAGCACAGCAGAACCAAAAAAACCACAACAATACAAACATATTTATTAAGACGACAGAGGCAGGAGAGTAGTTATAGTATGAAATTATTAAGTTAAGTTTTAGAAGTATATATTACGAATCATGACACAAAATATATGTGGATGCGACAATAGGTGGAAGTGGGTTGAGAGAAAACATAATTATTGCACAGTGCGAGAGAATGCATACCAACAGTGCTCATTCCTTCAGAAGGAATCTTCATCTGAAGTATACAACTCGTCATTATTCACCTGTTGATACGGCGCCGGTTCATCGTTGCCGACACCGAGGCGACTGCGTCGACGAGCGTTCATGAAGAAGTTGGCAACTGTGGAGAGATCGAGACGAAGATGCTCGGCAATCGTTTGCTGCATCTCACGAGATGGTCGTTGAGTCTCCTTGAAAATCGCCTGAAGCGTTCTTTTTTGTATGTCCGTGAATACGAGACGAGGGCGCTTCGAAGTTTGCCCATCGTGGTCGGAGGTAGATCTTCTGGAACTTTGATAAAAATTGAATATTTGACATAGAAAAAAGGATGTTACCTGTGAGTGCGCACGTTTTGAGCTGGAGTTGGAGGAGACATTCCAGATGCTCGACCCACTTCTTCTGTTTTCATGTCGAGTATGGCGAGTCGAGTGTCAAGCGGCTGAGAAACCCAATTGTACATTCTCCGGAACGTTTCACGACCGGACTTTAGCTTGTTCCATGGTTTCGGATTGCGAAGCAAGTCGGAAAGTGTTCCCTGACTGCGACACAATATTCTTTCAGCGAATATGGCCTGTGGAATCGAGTGGTTCTTCAACTCGAACGCTATTCTCTTGCACAGATCTCTGGTGTCGATGTATATATCGTCTCCGATTTCTGCGTTCAGTGGGTCGTTGGAGTCTTGAGTGGAATATACACGACGTGGTGGCGGCTGAACAATTGCGGTCGGCGGAGTTGGAATGCTTGACGACGCGGCGATGGAATTGGATGAAGCCATGGTGACGACGGATGGAGACGACTGATTGAGCAAACCTAGAGGTTTTTTCGTTTCCGAGAATCTAAAAGAAAATGAGGGTAAGTATAATTAGTGAACGAAAGGAAAGAAGAAAGATAAATTCAAAATGGGGATGATGTGAGAACTTCAACAAAACAGGGGCAACAGAATGGAAGAAAGTATAGATAACCACTCACTTCTCTGATATGGAGTCTTTTCGAAATCCAAACGAGCTCCATTTCTCGGTTTAACATATGGTGGTGGTGTCGGTTTCGAGTATCCAGAAGGTCTAACTTCTTCACTTTTAATCAATTGGCGTTGAATCATAGATGTGGGATCAGAACCGAATGAGCTATGTGGCGATGGAGTTCTCTCCATTGGTCGATGATCTTCATTCAATAGCATGCTACCAAGCTCCGCTGATCGATCATTTTGTGGACTGTCTGCACGTATGCCGCCGATGAATGGATTTCCTTCGTCTAGGTCTTCTTCTTCCTGAAAATGTATTCTTCTTTTCATTTTCTGTTGTTCTGTATAACCTTGATAAAATCGCTGCTGAATTCATGAGATTCTCGTCGACGTGAGCCTAGAGGAGACAAAAGTCCGGATGTGCTACCAGAGAACCTGTAATAATCTCTGAATGAGATTCAATTAGTTGAAATGCGATTCGAATGTTCGTGCGACTTACTCTGGCTCATTTTTAATATGTTCATATGAAGGCGATAGGAGGGATCCGCCAGAGAAACTGCTTCCTGGTTGATCAGTGTTCAAACTCATCGGAGCCAAAGAAGCTAGACTTGGCGCTGACGTCGTTGGCGCTTCTTCAATCGTTGGAGCGTCTTCGGAGGAGGAGCTTGCCGAAGGTGTTACTGGATGTGGACTTATTGTATCCAAGAAGTTTTCCGGGAGCTCTTCGTTGAATCCACGACTGTTATTGATGAATGTGCTGGAGGGATCGATTTGTAGATAGTCCGTGTTCCTCCGACGCGATTTTCCTGTTCTGAAAAAGTTAAAATTGTAGATTCAGAATTTCGAATTTCTGGGGCACCCAAACTTTTTGAATTTGGCGCCTTTTTTCGGATGTCCTAATGGACGGGAAACAAGGCGTTTCAGCCAAAGCCTGTAATTTTAAACACAATTTTCGCTGGTTTTCGCGAATTTCAGTACTTTTATGACTGGATTTTTTTTTTCTGTTCAAAGGGCAAAAACGCCTCGCTTCCCTTCCAG